AAAAAAAAAAAAAAAAAAAAAAAAGAGCAACTGAAAAACACCTAGGGTTGTAGGGTTGCACAACATGGACATTGGCAAGCCATTATTTTCTCAAGAGCCTTAGAAAGAGCAGGGAAAAAAAATAAATGGTACCAGGCTTTTTATCTCAACAGTATGGAACCTAATCTATGTCATTAAGAATATTATTATGTACGTCATTAAGAAGCTGCCTGGCTGACGAGGCTCCTACCAGACATGACAGCTTGTGCAACCACTCTTGAGCTGACAGCATGGCATTTCTTGCATTATGCTCTCAATTTTTCAGTGAAGCAGAGGTGGTGGAAAATATTCCATTATCTGCTTCTCTGTCCCCGAGACAGTACATTGTTCCTTGCAATAATTATCCTCAGAGATTCAATTTATACATGCTTCACATGTAAATGTGTGCTCAGTAAGACAGATCATTCACAGAAGCATCATTTCAAGAAGGATACTGACAACAAAGGCCTGAGAAAGGAAAGAAAGTTAACAATGACAATATGGTCTCCCGTATCAGAAAGGTGCATTAGGCTTCAGAAGACCAATATGGAAGATCATCCCAGATATTCAGTACTTCAGCAAGCAAGAGTGACAGCAATGCAGAGAGCCTCCAACGCTACTGCAACATGCTAGGAAACTGTGTTCATCTACATTGATAGGTATTTAGTGCAAGAGCTAATGAAGTTCTTTTGCTCATCTAAAATAGGAAAGTCAAGAAAGGAATCATCTCTACTTGTGGTTACTGTTCTGAAAAGTTTACCAAGAATACTCCAGGCCAGCCTTCAAACAACAAACACAGATGTTTTACAGCTTGTTTTACAACTAGCTTAAAAGTTCATTAGCAAGTTTACATAATGAAAATTAGCATGACAACTTAGAAATGTTTTAGTCTTAAACAAATATAACTAAGCCGTTTCTAAATCTGTCAATAATTCAGATCAGCTGAAAATAATGGTGACAGAAGCAAAGACATCAATTCACAGAAGTCTAGCAAAAGATGATGAAAATTTTACCAAATTTTAGAAATCTTTACATTAACTGGATCAAAATGACCATGTTTACTGGATCAAAATATAAAGCTATAACAAGAGACGAGGTTCTGCAATTTCTTTAGATTCTTTTCAGCCTTTTCTCATATTCAGAGAATGTCATCTCAATACCTTGATTTATTTCAAAGACAAACAGCTCCCCCCAGAGCAGTCATCACTGCTATTCTGTAGATAAGAAATTCTTTACGAAATGTGATTCCCACATTCAGCCAGTGACTGAGTCTATATTACTCCTGAAATCCCATGATTCACTGATCCAAGCCTAAAAGCTTGGCCATGTTTCTGAACAAAAGCAAACTGCACTGAAATTGTAACAATAACTATACACTATGCTCCTTACCCCATCCAGAAGAGTGTTTGTTAGATGTGTGCGAAGATCTTTACGAAACGGAAATTCCAGATTAGATACATGAAAAATCGAATTGTCTCTATCAATCATATAAACTTCATTCTTGCCATCAATCAGCATCATGTACCTGCAAAGGCAATGTTAAGATATTATACTTAAAGGTACATCCTCTAAATCTCTACTATTCTGATTTATGTTAAGTGCTAAAAAAAAAAGTAATCATAACAGACGTTATAAAAAAAGCATTTCAGAATGAATCTTTTACAGTTAAAAGTTTAAACCTATTCCTTCAGGAAAGCAGATAATTTAGTTCAATGCAGTTATCACAAAGAAGATACTTCCAAGACAAAATTTCAGACTATATACATATATATAAAAGAATGTTGCTGTGTCCAGATAAAATAATGCCTGAAAATGTATTAAAAATAACAGAGGTTTTAATGCTGTAAGAAATACATGAGCCTAATTCAGTTAGATGCAGCTAAAAGATCTTTTAGTCCAGTTTTTCCTTTATTAAGTGGACCAGAACTTTGCCTGGTATAAAGCTGCAGAGTTTCATCCAAAACACCTTTCCTGTCTATCACTGGTTATCTACCACTTCAGTATTCCAAAGTCCCAGCCAACTATTTTGAGCCACTTGTCATTAAAACACTGACAAACTTAGCCAAGGTATATTCCTCTCACATTACACACAAAGAAAACCCCAAAGCCTTGTGATCTTGGTTCAGTTGCAGACATCCAAAATTTCTAAACATTTCTTTACATTATGACAGGACTGGGAGCCCAAGTCATTAATTTAGACCTCTCAGTGCTAATCCCACAGAAGAGTGCTCTACAGAGGTAACATTCTATATACAAGAAAAAAAAAAAACAAAACAGTGAACAAGTAGAAAGAAAAAAGCAGTGGAAAAAAGATAAAAAACACAAGAGACGCTAAACAGCATGATAGCTGTAACACACCTGAGTTACCTTTGTAAAGTTTTCTTTGATCTTTGCAACAAGAGTACTAAAGTAGAGTTTCAGGAAGAGTAACAAGCAGCTGTGCAGACAAAGGTCTTCTCAAACTTGTGCAGCAGCCTAGGAGAGCACACCTTCTGACTGCAGAAAATAAACTGAAGAAATTTCAGCAGAAACTAGTATCCAAGGCCAGCTGCAACAAGTCAACATCTTGGCAGTGAATGAGAAGTAATAAAGGTGCTGAGCATATACCACAAGCAGCTGAAAGTGAAGACTAGCAGCTTGAATCTAATATGATAAAGGAAGATAGAAGCTGTTGGCAAAGCAAAAAAGACTACAAAAGTGCCTTTTTGGAACCAACAAGGTGAGATTGCACTTAGTAAGACCAGTGAAAAGAACAATATCTTTATCAAGATGTGATCAAATGATCAGACAGGAAACACCACGGCTTAACAGCAGTGTCAAAAAATAAGCATACGAGAGAGAAAGCTGACATGAAGACTCGAAAGTAAGTCCAAGTTTGGTGTCTCAGTCAAACCTGAGTTACGTCAGTTTTACTAATTACCACCTGCTGTAACTGAACTTATGCCTGATCATGCCATAACCAACCGTGTTGGTGGTCTACACCAAAACCGAGAGCATAACCCTGAGCCGAGCTTTCTTTCACTGATGCTTTCATTTCACCTTGCACACAGGCATGCTAAAAGCACAAATGTTATTACACAAGTTCTACTGGGAAAAGTCAAAATCACAGAAACCCAAAAAGAGAAGAAAATAGGAGCACTAGCAACTGTTCAGTGGTTCTAAAAGTTCACAGCATTTAAAGTTCACAGCATTTAATGTTCTTGAATAGCCTCTGATATAAAGAGGGAAGGGACACAAACCTTCCCAGAGCAACTAACCCATCTGGATTGCAGTACAGTTTCTTTGACAGCACAGAATAGGAAAACACTTGATTAAAAGTAAAAGATGACAGGAGTTTCATCATCCACACCAGAATATTTTGAAAGAAAGCAAGCATATTTCAAAGACTCATTCAGCAAATAACTTTTCATACTGGGGGCACTTTTCATAATTTATCCATTTCTCCTTGGAAAGTCCTGGCTATGCAGAAATAACGAGTTATCACTACTCTTTTCTAAAATTCACCATCGCTCTTACAACTAATGCCCACAGGATCTCTGCTGTCAAAACAAAGCAGCAAGCATCCCCCAGAAACCCTGCAGGAAAATGGTCTACACAGGCAGCTGTCCTGTTGTCTGCACAGATCCTACCTCTATAAATCAGTAAATCTGACTACAGGAACACAGTACCACCCATGCAGCTTAAATAAATACTTTCTTTCAGTATTATGACTACAGTCATAATTCACTACAGATCAGTTCAACTTGCATTTCTCCACACACAAGATGAGTACTTTAAGACATTACATATCAGTTGTGCAAAACCAAAAAAAGAAAACAAACAAACAAACAAACAAACAAAACCAAAAAACAAAAACCCAACCAAAAACACCCACAAAAAACCCAAGACGTACATGAGCAGAAAACCTGAAGTCGGGGCGCGGGGGAGTAGATTAAATCAATGCAACATTAGGAGAGCTGAAAGCTGCACATGAGATGCTTTATGAAAAAAATAATTCAATATACTTTCAACTAGATAACTTGGCGCCAGTTCTTCAGAAACAAGAATAATCTACAGACAACATTCGCTTTTTCAAACCATGTAAATTTATTTAAAACTAAAACTAATTTTAAGGACATGTTGTGTTTTTCTCAAAAATTAAGGAATCCATGGGGAGGGAAGAAGAGGTGTGTAACTATCAAAAAACCATGCACACTACTTTACTTTTAATTTTTTAAATAAGCTTAATTGGACATCTCTGCACTCCCATATTCATTGCTGTTTTAAGTACATGCTTTCATTGTAATTTGCCTCAATGACAAAATAGCACCAGAAACAAGTTCTAATGCTTCAAGAGATCTAGCACTTTAAAAAAAAAACAAAAACATACTTGCATCATCATTACAAATGCAATACAATAGGAGATCTTATAACTGCTTTGAAAAAAAACCCCACAAATGACAAACAGTTAAAAGATTTGTTTTCAGCCACCTAAAACATCTACAGGTTCAGATGACACACAGAAGGTTTCATCAAAATCTGTTAGTCTAACATCAAAAGTAAGATTAGCACACCACCACTTTCTCTAGATCTTTCACTCAAAACAAAATCTATGGAAATTTACTCAAGAGTTGGTAGCTGGATAGCCCACCAATCACTGGTGGTGAGATTCCTTCTCTTTCAAACCACAGCGTTAACGTTCCATCTCTTCTCTCATGATTTCTTTCTCTTTTTAAAATTTGCCACTGTTAGCTGTTCATACCATAAATTCTAAATGGCAGGGACAACGGTAAGTCTTACGACTGCATGCAAAAGATTTCCAGTCAAAGGTCACCAGGAATCACAATTATATCTTACTTCAGAGACCTACTGAGAAACAACATATGCTTACTTTGAAGACAAAAAAAAAAGAAAAAAATTGGTCTCAGGACAATAAATTACCTTAACGTAGACCCATTTGATGTGGGTCTCATGATAATATATTTGCGTAACTTAGAAGCTGAACAAGGTCTCTGCCTGAGAAAGACAGACTGACACAGACATATCTGTTTTGAAAGGGTTTTGTTTGTTCAGGTTTTTTTTAAGCTGAAAGCCTGAAAACACCTCCACTCCCCAATTTAATAAACTATTGAAAAAAAAAAAAAACCCTCTGAATGTGGTCCAAACAACAAAATCTGTCAAAATTCTAACTATTACCGACGTAAGATAGAAGAAATTTGGTCAAGGATGGACTGACAACCAGAAGGGTTCTATGAGCAGCCGATAACTAAAAACATGCAAGAAGCAAAAGAGATATGCAACCATGCCAAGGTTTTGGTGAAACTGAATGTATTAATTAATGAGGGGTTTTGGTTGGGTGGGTGGGTTTTTTGTTTGCTTGTTTAACTCAAAAAGCATAAGTTCATGTGCTTAACATCAAGCTTTAAGTTTTCTCCAGATGACACTTGAAGCTTTCTTGGAGAAATCTTGTAGACTGCCAATCAGTACATTTCTGAACATTATCTGGATGTGCCCTGACTGGTTATATTTGATGAAGTTAATTAAGGTATTAGCAGCCTAAGCACTTACAGCAGAATAGAGAGCGTGCCTCCGGGCAACACCACATCGGCAAAGAAAGAAGAATGTCTCAAATACACTGAATAGGAACTAGAACAGCACATAGGCGCTTAACTGTCATGCATCGTATTGCATACTGTGCACACTACTTGCTATTACAGCTGTACATTTATTACTAATTATCTCCATTGTGTGAGCACCCAAAAGCTCCAATGAGTAACCAGGCCCCATTGTATCAGATTCTGCGCAAGCACACAAGATGACATGGTCCTGTGTCAGATGGCTCAATCTGAGTTTAAAACAAGACAAGTGAATAAAAGAGCAAGAGTGGAGCAGCAATAAGAGCAATAACAGAACTGCTCATTCACCTTTGATAACTCTACATCAAAGCGGAGAATTGTGTTTGGGCGATAAAGATCACCGCTCCAAACTGCCAATCCAACCACTACAAACCCGCCAGTTTCCACTGCAACAAGACTTCTGACAAGTGAGTTAAAGAAAAAAGGGTCATGGAGTCCACACAGATTAATCTCACAAGCAGATAAAATATCTACAGTCACAGAAATGGTAAAATTTGAAGTTTCATTAGAAGCTACTTTTCATTCACTTCTGGTCCCGAGGCAAGGTCCGTTATTAATTCTAATTGGACATTAGTATTAAGATGGTAATTCAGGAAATAGGATGAAAATTTCATTAGCAAAGAGTTACAGCTCTTGGCATTAGACAAGCAGATCTCCAAATCACCTACCAGAGTATTAATAACTTTAATCTTTAAACTTTGAAAAACGTCAACCACCAAATATAATCTTGAAAAGTTTTGTCTTCAGAAATCAATTATTTTTAGCATACCCAAATAAAGGCTACTGTTTCAAAGGCTCATTTGCCTCCACATATATCCTGTTCATGCAGTCCACATCAGTTGGGCCCAAAATACATGCTAAAAGGATCATTTTATTACACTTCAATTTTTAGTTTAGTTTGCTTTGGTGG